TTATTAAATATTAATATTAAATTTAAAAACTAATTAAATTAAAAAATACAATTAGTTTTCAAATTTAGGTATTAACATTTAATAGGATATATTTTTAAATTTTAAATTAAAATTTCAATTTTTAAATATAAATTGAAACTTTATTTTATGTTTAAAAATGAAAACTATTATGTGTTGATGATCACCTAAAATTTTTTCTTCGATTAAATTTTATGTTATATATATATATATTGAAAAAATTAAGTGTAAAAAAAAGAAGAAAGAAATTACCACATGTTTAAATTATAAAGTGAAACAAGTCACCTAAACATGGTTTGCATAGAAATCAAAATTCGAGGGTACAATTAAGAATGAGGAATAACATAGGCACACCTCACAATTTTCTGCGTAAAATACTATTGCATACTTTAACATTTGAAATTCATTCAACTTTGATTGTTTTTGGTTTTGATTAATTGGAGTTTCAAAAAAGTAAAAGGATGAAATTGCAAAGCTATGAAAATAATTGGATTGAATTAAACCAAACCAAGAACATGCATACACAATAGCAACAAAATTTAAAAAAAAGGAACTGATTTGATTAAACTTGAAACATGGAAGATGATTTCAAAAGATTTAAAATTTTTTAACTAAATTGCTTAATGTTAAAAGTTTTGTGAGAAACTTAAATTTAATAAAAGATAATTTTAACTTTTTTTTTTTACTTGATTAAGGAAAACAATCAATTTAAATTAATTAATAACGATCATCATAATCCATTTATTTATATTTTTTTAACCATTTTATATTTTACTCTTTTTTTTTAATTTTTTAGGTTTTTTTTTTGTTGGTTCGTAAACCTACCGGGTTCAACCCGACTCACAACATAATCCAAATATCAATTTGGGTCCAAACAGATCAAATTGAACACAAATTGGGGGTTTTTTTTTTTTTTTTTGATCAAGCTCCCAACAGCTAAAGAAAATTAAACGCAGATCTCAAGCAAATTTCATATGTAGCAAACAGACAACCAACAATGAGGAAAGCAAGTCGAATATTCTTAAATTAAGACCATCATTTACAAGAAATGCAGCCTGTAACCTATAGTGGCAATTTGCATTGTCTGCATCACAGATGCCCCTTTTCCCAAAAGCTTGGCAAGGCCAAAATCCCCGACATGTGCAACCATATCTTCATCAAGCAGCACATTGCTAGGTTTCAAATCACAATGGATGATTGAAACTGATTGTCCATGGTGAAGATATTCTAGAGCAAAAGCCACATCAATCACTATATCCAATCTTTGCAAGATATTTAAACAACATGTATCAGAATATAACCACTTCTCCAGGGCTCCATTAGGCATGAACTCGAGCACCAAGGCCTTGAAGTCTTCATTACAACAGGTGCTAATGATTTTGACTAGATTTCGATGACAACAACTGCGCAATACTTCACATTCTGTGTTAAAACTCTGGAGTACACCTTTTACTTGCATATTGAAGACCTTTATTGCAACGCTCATTCCACCTAGAAGTGCCCCATTGTATACTGACCCAAAACTCCCTACGCCAAGCAATTTTGTTTCATTGAATTTGTTAGTTGCATGTTGAAGCTCCTGGTATGAAATCCTCTTCCATTGTGCTAGACTTGGCAAAATTTTCTTGATTTGTGGATTTTGCCTTTGATTTATCTCGTCTTTTGAAGAAGATAATGATGAAGGTAAGTATTAATATGGTAGCTGCTATAGGTGGCAACACTAACCTTAGCACATGGATGGATTTCTTTTGTGACTTACATGGAGGAACTTGAAATCTTGGCAAATCACATAGGGCAGTGTTTCTAATAAATGATTGAGCAAAGAAGTTTCTAAATGATCCTCTACATGGGATTTCTCCTTCAAGTCTATTGAAAGATACATTGAAGAATTTGAGATAGGAAAGTCCTTCCAAAGACTTGGGAATTACTCCAGAAAGAATATTGTTAGAGAGATCCAAAAATTCCAAGCTTACCAACCCATCAAATGATTGAGGAATATTACCTTCTAAGGCATTTTCTGCCAAGGAAAGATAAGTCAAATCTTTGAGATCCCCAATGGTGCTAGGTAAATTGCATGATAACTGATTTCTAGATAAATCCACTTTAGTCAAGACTCTAAGGCTTCCAAAATCTAATGGAATAGGGCCACTAAATGAATTTGATGACAAGTATACTTGCAAGATATATTTAAGACTCCAAAAGGTTGAGGGTATGGTAGAACTTAAGTTGTTGGAACTTAAGTTTAGATATCTTAAAGAAGTCAAATTGGCTAAGCACTCTAGCATAGAGCCATTTAGCTTATTCCAATCCATTTCCAATTGATCTAATCTCTTAAATGACATAGATCATTTGGAATTGTTCCTTGAAGTCTATTACTTTCAAAATACAAGCCTTGGAGCTGTTGCAACCTTCCAATTGTTGCTGGAATTTGTCTAGTCAAATCATTACCAAAAAGACTCAAAACTATCAAATTGGTCAAGTTGCCAATTTCTGTAGGAATGTTTCCTTAGATTTTGCAATCCGATGCATAAAAATATTGAAGAAATGTGGATAGATTCCCAATTGAAGCTGGAAGGATGCCATTCAATGAATTAAATGATATGGATAGAATTCTCAAAAATCTACAATTTACCAAAGAAGAGAGGAAGCTTCTTTCTAGAGTTGAGTATTCATGGAACATGTTATTTCGTAATCTAAGCCTTTCAAGGAATCTTAGATGGCCAAGTGAATTAGGGAAAGGGCCATAGAACAAGTTTTCGTTTAGGCTTAGAATGGTAAGTAGGGAAGAATTGGAGAGAGAATTTGGAAAATTTCCACTGAGTTTATTTTGATATAGCTTTAGCGCAGTAAGCTTTGGAAGCCAAAGTCCGATGGTTGAAGGAAGATGGCCTGAAAGGTTATTCCTTCCTAAGATAATGACTTCCAAGGTTGAGATGTTAAAGATCATGGGAGGAATAGAACCATTCAAGAAGTTGTATCTCATATTCAAAAACCTCAAGGGTAAGTTGCCAATCTCCTCTGGTGTTTCTCCTGTCAAACATATAAAAAAATTAATTGATAAGTTTTTTAACTTGTATTTAATTTTTTGCAAAGATAGAATTGTTTAATGAAGATAAGAGATGAAGAATTAATTCTAGAAAATGAGTTTGCCTTAGATTGGTTCCTATTGTACCTCTTATTACTCTATCTCCACTATAAATTCTTCCAAATTAGTTATGTTCCCAATGTTTAATCTCATGTTCCCAGTGAAATCATGCCTCTTAGCTTGGTTCTAGATATACTTCTTGTAAGTTAGTTTTTTACGTTGAGAATTTATAAATTTGAAAGGAAACTAGAACTACAAAGAATAAACTCAAAAGTTTAAAGGGGCTTGCATTAAATTGGTACCTATAAGGAAATTTTTATCAATGCTTATAATGTTGTGTATAAAGTGCAACTACTCAAAATTTATTAATCTCATATACTATGAAGAAGAAAACATATTGACTAATCTCACCTTCCAAGTTATTTTCACGTAGATTTATTCTACTAAGTTCAGTCAAGTTCCCAATGCTTCTTGGGATGTATCCAGTGAATTTATTGGTCCCTAAAAGTAAATTTTGAAGCTTCTTGCATCTGCCTATACTTGAGGGAATTGAGCTCTGTAATTGATTCTCATACAAAGAAAGTAGCTCAAGATTTGGCAGGTGGTAGCACAAGTCAATAGGAAGGGTACCAGAGAGGCTATTTGTGTAGAGATAAATCCATCTTAAGGAGGAGATATTGAAAATATTTGATAGAATGGGACCAGAGAGGCTTGCATTTCCAGCTGCAACTTCCTCCAAATTATGAAGATTACCTATCTCTTGTGGTATTTCCCCTGCAAAAAAATTAGGTGCTTATAGCTTAATTGAAGAATTATGAATCTTGTCTTAACTTTCAGCATATACTAACAGAGAAAAGAAGACAAAACTAGAGAAATATTAAATCTTGCCTCTTATTTTTGTATCTTGAATATGTATTCTCCTTAGCTTAGTTAAGTTACCAATGTTTCTTGATATGGTTCCTGTCCGTTGGTTATTGCTTCCTACTTTAAAAATCTCCAACTTTGAAAGCAACCAAATGTCATCTAGGATGCTTCCATAAAGAAAATTGTTGCCCAAGTCCATGACTCTCAAACGCTGCAGCTTCCCAAATTCTAAAGGCAAGTGGCCATGGAAGTTGTTTCCACTCAAGTTGAGATCAACAAGGAATGAGAGGTTTCCCAGTTGAGGAGGGAGGCTGCCAGTGAGGTTCATGTTTGGAAGATCCAAGGTTGTGACTCTTCGGTGAAGAGCACCACAAGAAACACCAACCCAGTTACATATTGAGGTGGCAGAAGTCCAGTTGGAGGACATGATATTGAGAGGATCAGAAGTGATGTGAGCTTTAAATTCAAGAAGGGCAAATTGGTCTGCGGTGAAGTTTGGTTGAGACATGGCTAAGGCAGCCATAAAGCGTTGCATAAACAACATTGGAAGGAAGATAGAGCCCATGATCATTTTCTCCATTGATGCTGGAAAATACCTACAACGCAATCAAAGAGATGACATTATAACTAACACTTTCCATGGTTTTTTTTTTTTTTTTTTGGTCCAAATAAACTTTTTCCTCAGTTAATAAATATTTTTGTTATGAAATGGTAAGCTGAAGAAAAAATTGTAATTAAATGTAAACCAAAAATTGATGAATACCAGTTTGATTTTAAATTAAACATTCAGTTATTAAGATGTCTTAAATAAAATGATTGGTTTAAGAGGGTTTTTTTATTTATTGAATTGTTATCAACTTACTTACCACCAATAATAGTCATCAAATTGATATGATAAGAAGGGAATGAGATGGATTAAAGAAAGAGGAGAAAAGCCAGAAAATCTAACCTGCTTAAGTTGATTTCTGAACTCTAAACAATGCTCCGGAAACAAGCAAGAAGTATGGTGCTCAAACAAGAATAAATAGAAGTGTAAGAGAAGCAGGGGCAAATTAAGAATTTGCCACCAACGAGGATTGGATCAAGTGATAAGTGGTTTGTTTCAACTTAAATAAGGTTTCGAGTTCGAGATTTTGTGTACGCAGTAACCTTTATTGGGAGATTCACTCACCATTTTTAGATGCACAACTCGAGTTGGTTTGGATTAGTCGAGGCGAAGTCTCGGATATCGAACGAAAACTAAAAAAAGATAAAATTAAGAATTTGCCGAGTCAATGTTGGTCTTTGCCCTGCCACTTTCACAGCGTAACAACCAAAGACTTTGGAGATCACTCCTTTTTTATATTTTGGCAAAACCATAAGTTAAGCCCCTGAACCAACCCCAGAATCGCTATTAAGCCCCTAGACTCTAATTGATGCATTTAAGCCCCTGAACTCTACAATCTGAGCAATTTTGCCCCTCCTCTCACAGTCAACTTAACTGCTGCTAACTGCCGTTCGAGGACTGCATCGTGTGGCGAAATGTGGCTGTCTCATGCCTACGTGGCAAGCGATTTTGCATCTGGTTT